ACTTAAACAATTATCTTATTTGATAGGATAGTTATGCGCAAATAAACTCTCAATTTATTAAGAAAACCATAAATCATTTAACAATCTTAAGATATTATCAATAAATAAAATATTGAATACATTAAAATTTTAATTATCACTATTTATTTAGAGGTCATCTTGAAAATCAGTGACTCAAATAAAGTGATAATAAATAAAATATCATGATATTCTTTAGTTAATTATTGAATGACAAAGTTCAAATATTTTAAGTCATATACTTTAACATATTTAACTGATAATAAAACATATTCATCTTATAACATAATATTTTTATCTTATAATTTGACATGTTCATTTTACAATGAAACATATTCATGTCATATAGAATGTAGGCATGTTCATTTTGTATTTACATATGTTCATTCTAAGATTAAACATGTTCATATCATACTGAAATATTGTCATATATTAAATAAGTGTTCATTTTTCATGTTTTTGAAAAGTTCAGAGAACATGTCATATAGAATGTAGACATGTTCATTTTGTACTTATACATGTTCATTCTAAGATTAAACATGTTCATATCATACTAAAACATTGTCATATATTAAATAGGAGCTTATTTTTCCTATTTTGGAAAAGTTCAGAGAACATGTCATATATAATGTAGACATGTTCATTTTGTATTTACACATGTTCATTCTAAGATTAAACATGTTCATATCATACTGAAACATTGTCATATATTGAATAGGTGCTCATTCTTCATGTTTTGGAAAAGGTTATAGAACATGTCATGTAAAATGTAGACATGCTCATTCTAAGATTAAACATGTTCATATCATACTGAAATATTGTCATACATTAAATATGTTCATATCATTGCTAATAGTTTTGTGTACTCAATGGCTACTATTTGTTAAATATAAATTGACTTAAATAAAATTATTTTGGAAGTAGATTGATTAGATATATTTTCAATAAGATTTGTATATTAAGTTTCACAGTAATTTATTGATTAATATATTATCACCTAAGATTGTATATATTAAATTAATCGATTTAAAATTTAATTTAGTTAAATCGCGAGTTTGGATTGTAAGATTCATATTTGACACGTTAAAATTGGTAAATGAGCTGAATGTGAACTCAATTATCTCACGTTTGGCTAACGAGTAGATAAAAGCTCGTTATTAATAAACAACTAGTACTCTTATACTCGTGTACATTTAATTATATTATAAGAATTCCATATAGTTTAAATTCAACAATATAAATAAAGATTAGAATAAAATATTTTTTATTATGAAAAATTAATTGTACACAACATTATATACATGTCGACTTGTCCTCTCCATATCCAAATATCCATATCTTTTTGATTGGCTACTTTTAAAATTATTAGTATTGGTTACGATCGAAACTTACCAGAAAATTACATATTAAACTAATATATTACAGTGATAAAAAAATATGATAAAATAATTTACAACAATATTGTAAAGCTACATTAAAAAAAATCGGTTTTATAATTATTTCAAACTTTAGATTTTCATAAAACATAATAATTATTTATATTAGTGCAAATTATAACTAATTTATGATATAATTTTATTAATAAAGCCCAATATAAGTATGGATTTTATTTCCTTCTTCATAAAACGGTTAGTTAAAATCATGTTAAGAAACATATTCATCTTGATCATGTTGAGAAACATATTCATCTTGTACAAAATCAACATATTCATCGTGTTAATAAACATATTCATCTGAGAAAGAAACATGTTCATGTTATAATTTAACATATTCAGTTAATAATAAAACATGTTCATCTTATAATTTGACATGTTCATTTTACAATAAAACATATTTATCATGTTAAGAAACATATTACGTACAAAATCAACTTATCATCTTGTACAAAATCAACATATTCATCGTGTTAATAAACATGTTCATCTGAGAAAAGAAACATGTTCATCTTATAATTTAACATATTCAGCTAATAATAAAACATATTCATCTTATAACATAATATGTTCATCTTATAAGTTGACATGTTCATTTTACAAAGAAACATATTTATTATGTTAAGAAACATATTACGTACAAAATCAACATATATATCTTGTACAAAATCAACATATTCACCCTCTTCGTGAACGAGATCACCGACTACTGCGTCCCGGGACCCTCAGCCCCCTCGAGCGGCCCACCCCATTGACCTCGCCCACCAGATAGTTCAGCCCGAGCAATCCATGCATGAAGATCGTGTCATTTGCCCCCACCGACCCCAAACCCATCGCAGCCTCGAAGCCCAGGTCCCCCAAGTTGAGCTCAACCGTCGTGAGACGCTTGTCTCACGTGCAACACACTCGCATTGTTCTATTTCCTGATAACAACAATGTGAAAGAAAACTACATTTAAATTTGATATCAAATAATTTCACCAGATTCAGACAAGCAAATGGAAATTCTTTCCAAGACAAATCATAAAAGACAAATCATAGAGCCCCATATTAAGAAACACCTATTTTTCTGATGAATGGTGATAAAGTGAGGGAGATTAAAGCAGGTCCAACCATATAGTTATTTTGCTGCTTCACAAACAGACATAAGTCTAATGATGTGGAAAGTACTTGCCAAAAGCTAATTACTCATCATATACCATTACTTATTTTAGTTTTGCTCCATTTGCCAAACATATTAGCATAAAGCAGATTGGAAAACAAATCATATTATTGTAATTAAAAAAAGGTAGCTTAAATCAATCTCTACTCACCTGACACTATGCTGATCCTAACTATTCAACTTTTGCAGTTGATGGACATAAGCACATTCATTTGTGTGACTTAAAAACAATCTTCCTCACCTGATCTTCATATTAAAAAGTATAATGATCTACTTTTCTACAGGCAGACTATACAGACACAAATGTTTTAGCAATAGGTGCTCAACAAAGACCAGCTCAACAACAAAATTACACATAAAGATTGTTTGGCCACCCATAGACAAGAACATATGAACCGGGCTAGAAGACGTTACCAGGTATATAATTGCAACCCAGGGCTCTGTACATTGCCCGTTGCAGACTGCCACGGCGTCATACACCTCATCGTATCCATGTCCCCCATTCCCAATTTTTGATCTCACTGACCATTTTCGACCCTCCCCCAACCCCACATGGGACACCTCACTCCCGAACCTAACCACCTGCCGAGCCTAAACTTGTCGGCAAAATCTCTCAAATACTCAAAAACCTAACCGTGATCTAAAAACCTCCTCAGATCTCTCTCGGGCTTCCCGCAAGCCACGAATGGGTAGGCCCGAAAGCCCATGACCTCCCGTGGCAAGTTCGTCTGCAAAGAGGCATAGAGACTAGAGTGTATGACTTTTCGGGTCGGATCGAGTCCTATCGGGTCGGCCTCTATTTCTGGTGTGTAGGCTCAGGTCCCCCCAACCTGGGTTGCCCTCATCAAAACAAGGAAAAAACATATCTTTTTCTCACAGAGAACAACACCCTTTATGTAGAGCAACACATACCACAAGTCTACTATTCCAAACAAAATGAAAAAAGTGCACAAAAACTACACGAGTTTGTTTTGAATTTTGATGCAACAACAAATATGTTTTCCAAACAGCGCCCCTTAAGTAGACCAAATACCACAATTTTAAAAAAAAAATGAAAAAAGTGCACTAAGAAAGGGTAAACTACGCGAGTTAAAAACGGATTCAATTTTACTCAAGATCTCTTTCTCTTGGAGGAGGCAGACCCAGAGCCTCTACCTCCTTTTCGTGTCGGATCGTGTCCCATCGGGTCGACCTCTGTTTCTGGTGTGTAGGCTCAGGTCCCACCAACCTGGGTTGCCCGCTCGTAGAAGACGACGGTGCGGCCTTCTTTGCGAAGTTCCATGGCGGCAGAGAGGCCAGCGGCGCCGGCACCGATGACGACGGCGGTTCCTGAAACAAGATGAGAGGAGAGAGAGGTCGACGACAAAAAAATAAAAAATAAAAAATAAAAAGTTGAAGAAGATATTAGTAGAACAATTTGAAGAAGAAAGAACAATTTAATTCAAAAAACAAATTTGTAGGATTGGAATAGTGAAACATATTTTTAGGTCAGTGATAAAATTGTTTTGAATTTTAAGATTGTTATATAAATTAGATAAGTATGTGGGGCTTGAGAATAAATAAAATAGGTACAAGGGGCACAAAGGGTATAATAGGTTTTAACCAGTACAAGGGGTACAAGACAAGGTACAAGGCTATCAAAATTCTTTTTTGCCTTGTACCCTTAAATCTATCGTTGATGTTCATTTTTTAGTCAATCCAACGGTGAAATAAAGGGGTACCTGATGTTAAATAGGTACAACAAGAACCTGACTGTAGAAGATCCCAACTTAATTTTCTCTTAATACTCTTCTCCGTGTTTAATTGTTCATCAAATAAGAAGTTTATGAGTAAAAATAAATATAAATGTATATATAGTCTAAGTATATTAACAAAAGTAATAAATAAATAAATAAATAAAATTTCACCAAGGTATTTTTAAGTTTTAGGGAGACCCTTTCGTCGGATAAATCCAACGGATACAAATTCTGACGAAATAATTGCGTAACAAGAACTAATCATTTCCCTAACTTTTAATATATAACAACACCCATCAGTTATTACATAATAGCATAAAAAACACCCCCTTTTTTTCTTAAAAACAAATAAATAAAATAGCAAAACTGGAGAACAAAAAATTAAACCGAGAATTATTATAATCTATTCATTCTCTCGAGCAATCAATCATCAGAATTCTTCAAATCATCATAGGAAAGCTTCATCTCCTCGTGCTGGATTAGCTTGGCCTTCAATCGGATTATCCTCCTATTTTGAGCCCGAAACCCACTCACTCCGTCGATCAATTTGAGAAGAACAGCCCACAAAACCCTCGGGCTCTTAAATTCCCTCATCAATTCGGTGTTTGGAGGGTTCAGCTGTAGACTCTGTGTTCCCGGGTTTTCTCAAAGGATGAGCGGGCAGAAGAAGAGGAATTTTCAGATTGAAGCGTTTAAACACAAAGTGGTGGTGGATCCCAAGTATGCGGACAAGACTTGGAAGATTCTCGAGCATGCGATTCATGAGATTTATAATCACAATGCTAGCGGACTAAGCTTTGAAGAATTATACAGGTTTTGCCGATCTGTTGTTGTTGTTGTTGCTCAATTTAAGCTCGGATGAACTTCTGTATATGTGATGTTTAGTTTTGTGGAGGTTTTTTTAGCTGGGACAAAGATTTAGGGGATGGTTTAATTGGGAAAGTTTTTTTTTTTTTTTTTTTGGGTCTGTTTGTTTCGAATTATTCTAAGGTAGGTGTTGATTGATTTGCGTGTTTATGTAGCTCTATTGAATTTAAGCTTTGGTACTGTGTTGATGTTGATCTTGATCTACTGTGTTGAATTTAAGCTGTTGGTACTGTGTTGGGAATATACTGGGTATGTTGATCTTGATCTACTGTGTTGATGTTTGATGTAAGAGGTTAATTTTCGTGTGAGCCCATTTTTTGCCTCTGTTCAGCTGCTATGTTGAAGACTACTAACTAAAATGGGTTCTTGGGTGGAATTTTTCATCTCGTTGAAACCGATTTTTGGTTGAAATAGAATTCATTTACATGCATACGGGAATTAAGCTAGGTCTTTGAAACCCGTTCTAACTTCCGGTAAGGGGTTTTATTTAGGTAAAAATGATTATTGCCTGTATCTTTTTGGTGTCTTGTTTGTAACTTGTATCACACTTAACATGGGACTTGCGTTGGTATTATAAGTTTTTGAGATTCTGTACGTGTTAATGTCTTCTCCTTCTGATAATGAATGTGGTGGCGTGTGTAAACAGTTTCATGAATGTTTTTTTTTTTTATTTTTTAATTTTATTCTCTTTCTGTGAGCTTAGAAATGCATTTTTATAATTTGGTTAGATTGCTTATGGCATCTGACGGATTGCATATATGACACGGAGTCGAAGTAAAAAGGATGCAGGAACTGGTTGTGAAGTGTGTTTTCAGCCGTTATTCTTGTGATTTACTATGAACAAAAGTGTGTTGCGTTTGCCCAAGTGGAAATGGAGAAAGTTAGATGGAAATACGTGGAAAATGATTTTACTTGAAATGGATAGTGGGCTGCTGAATTGAACTTAAATGCTTGCGGTATTCATTTGAAGTATCACTGATGGTATGTTTGGATTGTAACATATTGACTTATATCGACAATGAGCCTGATGGCATACTGTGAGAGCCTTAGCTTTTATGAATTGTACCACATTAATTATTCAGCTTCAGGCCAGAAACTTCCCCTGAAGATTCACGATAATATGGAAAATTGCGAACAGTCTGGATATGGTTTATACTTCTTAGCTAATTTTTGGTTCAGTATGTTTGAAATGATTCATTACGTATGAATCAGTGATGTGAAGTTAGGTTCTTCTGTTTCTCATATCGGGCAATTGCACATTTGTTCACTACAATGTCTGTCTTCTCTAATCTGTTTTTCTTTTTTTCCTCCTATTTTGCATCCAGAAACGCTTACAATATGGTACTGCACAAGTTTGGGGAGAAGCTGTACTCGGGACTAGTGTCGACCATGACTCTCCATCTCCAGACGATGTCCAAATCCATAGAGGCTGCCCAGGGCCCACTATTTCTTGACGAGCTCAATGCGAAATGGAACGACCACAACAAGGCCCTTCAGATGATCCGAGATATCCTCATGTATATGGACAGGACCTTCATCCCGAGCACCCACAAGACGCCCGTCCATGAGCTCGGGCTCAACCTCTGGCGGGACAACGTGGTCCACTCCGCCAAAATCCAGCCGCGCCTTCTGAACACGATCCTCGACCTCATACTCCGGGAGCGCTCAGGTCAGGTGATCAACCGAGGCCTTATGCGGAACGTCGTCAAGATGCTGATGGACCTTGGGCCAGCGGTCTACCAGGAGGATTTCGAGCGCCCATTCCTCGATGTTTCGGCAGACTTCTACCGGGCAGAGTCCCAGGAGTTCATTGAGTGCAGCGACTGCGGGGGTTACCTCAAGAAAGCCGAGAGGCGTCTCATTGAAGAAATAGACAGGGTCTCTCACTACTTGGACGAGAGGAGCGAGCCTAAAATCACAAACGTGGTTGAGAAGGAAATGATAGCCAACCACATGCTCAGGCTCGTTCACATGGAGAACTCGGGCCTCGTGAAGATGCTCCTCGACGACAAAATCGAGGACCTGCGACGGATGTACATTTTATTCCGCCGGGTCCCGGATGGCCTCTCCACTATCCGGGACGTGATGACATCGCACATACGAGAGGCGGGCAAGCAGCTCGTGACCGACCCCGAGAAGTCAAAGAACCCCGTCGAGTTTGTCGACACCCTCCTCAGGACAAGAGAGAAGTACGACCTCATCATAACCCACGCGTTCTCCAATGATAAAACCTTTCAGAACGCCCTCAGCTCGTCGTTTGAGTATTTCATCAATTTAAACCCTCGCTCGCCCGAGTACGTGTCGCTGTTTGTGGACGACAAGCTGCGCAAGGGGCTGAAGGGAGTGAAGGAGGAGGACATCGAGATGGTGCTCGACAAGGTGATGATCCTGTTCAGGTACCTCCAGGAGAAGGACGTTTTCGAGAAGTACTACAAGCAGCACCTTGCCAAGCGGCTGCTCTCGGGAAAAACGGTGTCCGACGATGCGGAGAGGAGCCTGATCGTGAAGCTGAAGACGGAGTGCGGGTACCAGTTCACGTCGAAGCTGGAGGGCATGTTCACTGACATGAAGACATCCCAGGACACGATGCAGGGGTTCTACGGGGCCCACGGGGCCGAGTTGGGGAGCTCCCCAACGCTGGTCGTCCAGGTGCTGACAACTGGGTCGTGGCCCACGCAGACGAGCCAGACGTGCAATTTGCCGTCCGAGCTGTCGACACTGTGCGACAGGTTTCGGTCGTATTACCTCGGGACTCACACGGGCCGGCGGCTGTCGTGGCAGACGAACATGGGGACGGCCGACCTGCGGGCTACTTTTGGAAATGGGCACAAGTATGAGCTGAATGTGTCGACTTACCAGATGTGTGTGTTGATGCTTTTCAACAACACGGACCGACTCACGTATAGGGAGATCGAGCAGGCCACTGAGATAACCGCGTCAGACCTAAAGCGGTGCCTGCAGTCCTTGGCTTGCGTGAAAGGCAAAAATGTACTGCGCAAGGAACCCATGAGCAGGGATATAGGGGAGGAAGATGCATTTTCTGTGAATGATAACTTTACGAGCAAGCTCAGAAAGGTGAAGATCGGGACTGTAGTGGCACAGAAGGAGTCGGAGCCCGAGAAGCAAGAGACGAGGCAGAGGGTGGAGGAGGACAGGAAGCCGCAGATCGAGGCTGCCATTGTTAGAATTATGAAGTCAAGGAGGGTTTTGGATCACAATAATATTATTGCTGAGGTCACTAAGCAGTTGCAGTCGAGGTTTTTGGCTAATCCCGGGGAGATCAAGAAACGGATCGAGTCACTTATCGAGCGGGATTTCTTGGAGAGGGATAACGTGGATAGAAGGTTATACCGTTATCTTGCGTGATTTGATTCGACTGTTTACATTTTTATTTTTATTTTTTGGGCTCCAGTGAAGAGTGACTAGTGAATTATTACAGATATTTCGTTTGTTCTTGTGTCTGGAAGATATATTTGTTGCTGTCGAGCTTTTTGTTGCGTATATCTTTATTAGCAAATAGAGTTGCAAACGAGCCAAGCCGATCGAGTCAAGTCTAGCATTGGTTTTATCGAGCAGGATTGAGTTTTTCTTTTTAGCTGCTCGAGCTCGATAAAAAAATACAATAAGCTCGAGCTCGACTCTAAATCAAAATGCTCGAATTCGGCTATAGTTCGTCGCGAAAATTTTAAGTAGAAATGTCAAATTACCATTATGTACCTATGTTATACTATATATAAGAAGTATTTTAGTAATTCAACATATATCTCGAGTCGCTTGAAAAAAATATGGGCTCGAGCTCGACTCGAGTTCGATCAAACTCGAGCTTGAGTTTAGCTTTGACTCAAGTGCTTGCGAGTGGCTCGCGAGCCACTCGGTTCGTTTGCATCCCTATTGGCAACAACATGCACGGTATTCGTGTTGGCACTATAGCAGTTCGCGTTGAACTCCATGATTAATTAAGAAAGTGGAACATGGCTCATTGAGATTTTGTACAGATAATCAAGTCTTTTGTTGGGAACCGTGGTCGTCTAGGGTGATCTTTCAATTTGGTTCGGGTGTTGTTCGCTGGCCGCAACTATTTGAGGCAGAGCTTTAAACATATCGTTATCAAGAGGATAGTTCTTAATAATAGACTTTTGTTTCGCAATATGGTGTTGTGGTTTTTTTTTTTTCTATCTCTATAATCGAATTCTTGTACGCCTATAGTAGCAAACATATTAAGATTGTGCTGAGTGCTATCTGAAGAAGTTTGATATCTTGTAGTTTACAAACATGTCAAGGTTGTGCTGAGTGCTGTATGAAGAAGTTGGATATCTTATAGTTTATAAACATATCAAGGTTGTGCTGAGTGCTATATGAAAAAGTTGGATATCTTGTAGTTTACAAATATATCAAGGTTGTGATGAGTGTTATCTGAAGAAGTTGGATATCTTATAGTTTATCTTCTCAGATCGATTGAAGTTAGACAGTAAGGAAAACGAGGAGCAAAGATGAACTTGATATTAATTGATTTATTTAAGTACTACTATTTGGAATAAACTTATGTATTGAGGGACTAGGTATCTAATATAAAGTGAGTACTGCTTAAATTATTAAATATAATGTATTCATGACAAAGTAGTACAACTAATTTTGAAATGAAACGAACTCAGTGACATTTTTTTTTTTTTTTTT